AGAGAATTAGGACTCTCTTTGCAAAGAAAGGGAAAAGGATAGTTGCTGAGTAGGAAACCGACAGTGTCCACCATATTTGCTTTCCCCACTTTCCTCTTGGTTGTTGTTCGCAGTCTATATGTGCACTTCTTTTTCATGGACTGCCACTTAAATGTTGGCGATCACTATAATTCTATCCCTAGGCCTCTTCTATTTCAACTACACTCTCTCCATGGGTCCTCCACTCTGTTTTTTTGACTACTATCTCTAATTGATGACTCCGAATAAAGGTGTATTTCCAGCCCAAGTGTCTTTTTTAAGCTTCATACCATGAAAACTAGTTAACACTTACTCAATACTTCCTGAATTAGGCAGAATAATGCATCCCTCTACTCCCAAGATGTCTACATCTTAAAACCCAGAAACTGCAAATATGTTAGGTTACATAGAAATGGGGTATTGAGGTTGCAGATGGCGTTAACCTTGCCGTTCAGCCGACTTTAAGATAGGGAGATTATCTTGGATTATCCAGATGGACCCAATGTAATCACAAGCGTCTTTAAAAGCGAAAGAAAAAAGCAGGAGAGAGAACAGAGAGACGGCAGCCTGAAGAGGACTTGGTCAGACATTTCTGGCTTTGAAGGTGGAGAGAGGGGGCCATGAGCCAAGGAATATGGGTGGGCTCTGACAGCTGGAAAAGGCAAGGAAATGGATTCTCTCCTAGAGCCTCTTGAAGGAATACCTTGCCGACATCTTGCTTTTGGCCCAGCGAGACCCATTTTGGACTCAGAACTTCCGGAACTGTAAGATAATAAACTTGTGTTGTTTTAAGCCCCAAAGTTTGTGGTCACTTTTTATAGCAGCAGTAGGAAATGAATACATTTTCCATACTCAGCTTGTGCAAGTGAACTTCTGTCTTCTTCAGCAAAGCTGGTTTCCTGTGTTCTTCTCTTTAGGGGCTGGCATCACCATGCACGTTGTCCTCCCACTAAGAGTCATCCTTCACCTCTACCTCTTTACCACATTTACTTTATCACTAATTTCTGCCAATTCTTTCTACCTTTAGAATAACCCCTCCATTCAATTCCTTCTCCCTGCTACTGTCTCTTTTCAGGTTACAACTTTGAACTGCTAGAGTCTGTATTCAACTCTAGTCTGCTCTCTATACTTTCAAATTTTATTTTTCATTCAGATCCATAGGAAGAAATACATTTCACATCAAGATCTAGGGAACGCACACACTCCTGAAACAAAAGTTTCAGAAAACAATACTTGCCATACTCTTTCGCAGTATATGCTGAAGTCTGTGTTTAATTTTGTAAAACCCCAGCTATCTGTGATTTACTGCAATGATTTCAAAACTGACCAATGGATGGTGATGTGCAGTTTAAGAAGATGTCTTTTCTACCTGGCTACCAGAATGCTCTTTCTAAAATACAACTATTTTCCTTAAAATCCCTCAATGCCTCCATTACTCTAAGATAAAGTTCAAACTCTAACATGGCTTCTAAGACCCTCCATCACCCAGCTCTTTTATCACTGTAGCTTTATCTTTCTCCACTCTAACCGGTTCATTTTCATTTTACAATCCAACCTTACCTGTTTAACTTTCTGGACTCAGAGTGTGTCTCTGAGCCTTTGCAAGCTGTGTTACCTCCTCAAACTGTTGTCTACCCACTTCTTCTTGTAGCTAATTCCCACTTAAATCTTAGCTTAGACTTCACTTCCCTCCAAATGCTTTTCCTGGATGCCTAGACTGGGTTAGGTGTCCCTCCTGCCTTCCCACAGGCTCCTACAATGGCAGTGTTTATAACCTGTATTTCACAGTAGTGCTGTTTAAGAGCAGAGACTGGTTTTGTTCCCTACAGAATACCTAGAAGGCCTTCAGTAAATACTTATTGTATAAATACATGAAACTTTTTCAATGGGTTCCTCTCTCAAGTCTATTGAGTAGGCATTCTTATATATTCTCATATTGTTGGATATTTGGGTTCATTAACATCATTACAATGAAGGCACAGGTCTGGGCTGGGCGTCATGGCTCACGCCTGTAATTCCAGCACTTTGGGAGGCCAAGGCGGGCAGATCACAAGGTCAGACTGAGACCATCCTGGCTAACATGGTGAAACCCTGTCTCTACTAAAAATACAAAATAAATAAATAAATAAGCTGTGCATGGTGGCACACGCCTGTAGTTCCAGCTACTCAGGAGGCTGAGGCAGGAGAATCTCTTGAACTCGGGAGCGGAGCTGGCAGTGAGCCGAGATCGTGCCACTGCACTCCAGCCTGGTGACAGAGTGAGACTCCTCAAAAAAAAAAAAAAAAAAAGGAAGACACAGGTTTGGAACTGAACTGTCTACACAGACATAACTCATTGGCAGACTATTAAGTAGTTCCTAGAGGTTAGCTCTGTGTGAGGCAGCAAAGAACACTGGGTCAAGGTTCACAAAATCTCTCATGTGGGGGCATAAACCAAGCATCTCTAAGTTTCAGTTTCCTCATCTGAATTCCAACATTCTAGTCAGTATTTAACCTTAGATTCCTCAATCACATCAAATTCAATTTGTGTAATTGATGGGGATTATGGCATGTTCTTCAGATGACTGTGAGAAGCAAGTAGGTTAAATAATGTAAAAAATACTTTGCAGATTTTTAGTTGTTATTAGTACATACAGACACACATGCCTATTGCCAGGTCACTTTACCATTTCATTGATTAATGAATGCAAATAGAATGAAGAGTATGGATGGGGGTACTGATGATCCTGAATGAACAAACCTCATAAATTCTTAAGATTCAGCTATAACATGGCTTGTGATATCATAGCTTTTTATTCAGAAAGTTTCTTCCTCAAAGCTTCCCTATTCCTTTAAAAGAAAACTAAAATGTCATTGTAACTTATTTAGTCTTCAATGTCAGTTTTAGGGTATACTATGAACTTGTTATGGAGGGTTCTCCTTAATCAGGTAAGCATCATCAGATTGGCATATGGTGGTTTTCCTATGGTGGAATGAATATTAAACCCAAATGAAAATGAAAAGAACAGGTAATTCCTGAGATCGGTGTCAGCCAGACCTCTGATGCTATTTGGTTATTTATGCATGAAGTCCTGAGAGTTTACTGCAGATTAAGAAAGGGTGATTAGAGGATCACACATACCCATCTTCATTTCTTTTGGTCATCCCTATGAATTGGTGCTGCAGATTTTCTTCCTCTGAATGTTAGCAGGCCACAAAATGCCTAAAGAATAAACAGTGTTGCAAGCATTTTGGATATGTTGTGACACTGCAGTGACATAAGATAAAAATTCAAAATGCTTCCCCTCAAATCAAATTGGCACATTCCTAAACAACTTACTTAGGAATATTTTTCTTTTACCTCAGTTACTGCTTTGGTCTATATGCGGTTTGTCCCCTTCAAAACTCACGTTGGGCTGGGTGCAGTGGCTCACACTTACAATCTCAGCATTTTGGGAAGCCAATGTGGAAGAATCGCTTGGGGCCAGGAATTTGAGACCAGCCTGGGCAACATAACAAGACTCTGTCTCTACAAAAATTGTTTCAAAAAATATTAGCTAGGTGTGGTTATAGCATGTGCCTGTAGTCTTAGTTACTCAGAAGTCTGAGGCAGGAGGGTCACTTGAGCCCAGGAGTTCAACGCTGCAGTGAGCCATGATCACACCACTACACCCCAGCCTGGGTGATGGAGCAAGACCCTGTCTCAACAACAACACAAAACCAAACCAAACAAACAGACAAAAACTCATGCTGAAATTTGATCTCCAATATGTGGTGAAGTTGGGAGGTGGGAGGTGTTTGGGTCAGGCAGGTGAGTTGAATCCCTCATGTGTAGGTTAATTTGGGGGCAGGGGGTGAATGAGGTCTTGCTCTCATAGGAATGGATTAGTTTCCATGAGAGTGGCTTGTTAAGAGCCTGGCTTCCTTGGCTTCTCTTCCTTCCTCTCTTGCTGTGTGATCTCTTTGCACTTGCCTGTTCCTCTTCTACTTTCTGCCATGAGTGGAAATAGCGTGAGGCCCTTGCCAGATTCAACTGCCCAATCTTCAACTTCCCAGCCTGCAGAACTGTAAGCTAAACAAACCTCTTTTCTTTATAAATTACCGAGCCTCAGGTATTCTCTTACAGTGAAACAGACTAAGACAGTTACCTTACAACCTAATTTGAAGGTGGCAGAAATTCATCAAGGACTACAGAATCAGCAAAATAACATAGATTGATACATAAGAAGTGTAAGTCTTGTAAATGTTTTATGAAAGAATATACATATTTCCATTAACTTTCACTTCATTTGCTTGTTTGTTTGGTATATATGCCCTATTATTTGCCAGGCACCTGTCCAGTTGCTAGGGGTATTATGAGGAAAATAACAAAGTCCTACTTTATGGGTGTTAGAATCTCTGGCAGGTAGGGAGAAGATGAACAATTAAACAAGCATTTCAGACAGTGATACATGCTGTAAAGAACATACAATGAATGGGCTGGGCACAGCGGCTCATGCCTGTAATCCCAGAACTTTGGGAGGCCAAGATGGAAGGACTGCTTGTAACCAGGAGTTCGAGACCAGCCTGGTCAATGTGGCAAGACCCCATATCTAAACAAACAAACAAACAAACATATGATGAATGACATAAAAGTGCCTGAAATGGTAATTTGTAGGGGACTAAATGCATGAATTCTAGGGCAATAATGTCCATGCATAAATACAGGCTCTACAAACAAATAGGTGTATGACACTGGACAAATTATCACCCTCTCTGTGCCTCAGTTTTCTCATCTGTAGAATGGGCATAATAATAGTATTTAATGGGGTTATTGAATTACATAATGTGCATAGAGCAGTTTGAACAGTACCTGGCACACAGTGCTGTGTAAGTGTTTTCAACTATTTTCCCCTTTTGAGTAACTCATATATTGAACTAAGGCCTATATATTAGGAAGAGTCTTAAGCTAAGAATATAGGTAACTTAAAAGAAACTCCGTATCAAATAATGAATAATTAGACTAAAATGCCACTCTCATCTTTCTATTTGCATGATATACATTAATGAAAATACATGAAGATTTAAGTATCGCAGCAACACTCATGATCCATCTTCACCCTCGTCAGAGCTCCCGTCACTCTGCTCGTCACTTTCTCCTTTACTCTCACCGCTGCTGTCTTCATTACTATCTTCACTGTCTTTCTCACGATTCTGAGTTTTCTCTGCCACAAAAATGAAGAAGATTAAAGTGTTTCTTAATATTTCGCTCTGAAAAATAATTCTCCTTGCCCTTCCCTCTACCAAGAAATACATACATTTGCAACGTAAGAGCTGAGTTGGACTTGGCTAACTGCACATAGAGTCAAAGTGGCAGTACAATGAAGAAACGTATTTTTACTGGCATACAGGTATTTTTTATTTAAAATTAATTTAAAACATAGGCCTATAAAAATAATTTTACTGTTGTCAATGAATTTCTATTGAATAATTTCATAGAATTCTTTCTATCACAGAATTTCATTGACAACAGTAAAATCATCCATTGAAAGGAAGTGAGACAGGGCAATTTAGAGTCTTTGGCTTCCGTTGGAATTGTGGGTAACTCCTTTAACACACGGCTGTGTTCGCCTGTTCTGCTTGTCAGTACCTGTTGCCTGGTGCCTAGGGAGCCTGCGTTGCTTGGGCAGTTCTATCCCACAGAAAGAAGGGTGTCACTGTGACCATCCACAGAGGACAAGCTGTTTCACTAAACCATTTAAGACAGCCATTTAGCCTTTTCTTAACCACTTCCTAAAGATGTATTGACAATCTACCAGGATAATGGGTTTTTAAAGAGTGACTGCTTATAGTTCTATAAGAAACAAGGAATTTCAATTTTTAAAATTACCCATCAGCAACATTTCTTCAATAAGTGTGAAAAACTCCTTGGCCTCAGGATTTTCTGGTTCATAGATTAGGACTGAAAATGGACAACAGAATGTGTGTTATTAAGGTTCAGTGTTTCAGCAAACAGGATCCTTGGAATGAAATTGAACTGTCACTCAGAGCAAGTGAAATGCACAAAGTGATAAACACTAACAATTATACTACAGGTATATCTCAGCGCAAATACAGAAAATGCTGTACTTATATTTGGTGCTTTGGAAGAGAAATGATCCTCTTTTTTTTTTTTTTTTTTCTGAGACACCGTCTCACTCTGTCACCCAGACCAGAGTGCAGTGGCACAATCTCGGCTCATTGCAGCCTCTGCCTCCCGGGTTCAAGAGATTCTCCTGCCTCAGCCTCCTGAGTAGCTGGGACTATAGGCATGTGCCACCATGCCTGGCTAGGTTTTGTATTTTTAGTAGAGACGGGGTTTCACCATGTTGCACAGGCTGGTCTTGAACGCCTGACCTCAAGTGACCTGCCCACCTCAGCCTCCCAAAGTGCTAGGATTATAAGCATGAGCCACCACTCCCGGCCCTCATTTTGTTTTCTACCTCCTATCCATAGAATGCAATCTCTATCACCTCAGTATGGCTTCTCTTATAGGCCAGTAGCCAAAGTGTTTCATGAACATAATCATTTCCCAAAGAAGGTACAAATCCTGCCAAATATGGAGACTTTGCTAATGAAAAGACCGTGTGCCTAGAGGTCTGTTAATCCTTCATCACGCCATCCACCCATCTACATGACATCCTTTACTAAAGGTCTCATCGGAACACAAAGGAAGTTTTTATTTTTATTTTTTAATGCAACCTCTTCCATGGTAGAGATGCCATTTTTTTTTTTTTTTTTACATATTTCCAATAGGGGAAAGTGATGTTACTTCTTTCTCTTCATCTTGACAGCTTTTACTGTAGTCTACACCCTGGTCATCGCCTGCTTAACGACGTTCTCCACCTTCATTGGACCCACCGTTTTCAGCACTATTTATTCCTTTCTGCTGATGCTTTATGTGACTGTGTCACCTTTCTTTTGGAACTCACCAATAGACATTTTTAGGCTGTTAGTATGTTACCAAAACCCTAGAGGACAGAAAGATTTCTACCCTTAGTTTCAGAGTTGTCTAGACTATTTTATTTACTTTTTTACATCTCGCTCCACAGGTCCCTCTCTAGTACTTCCTATCAGCCTTGAGAAGTATTCATAATTCCGCATCATCCATTTAATGTTGTGACTCCTGCTCAGTATCTTGGTGGCCCACTAAAACATCAAGTGTGCTCTTCCTCTGGCTAAAAGTAAGAGATAATTGGGAGGCTGGGCACGGCTGGGCACGGCGGCTCACACTTGTAATCCCAGCACTTTGGGAGGCTGAGGTGGGCGGGTCACTTGAGGTAGAGTTCGAGACTGTGTTCAACATGCAACCAGTTCAACATGGGGAAACCACATCTCTATTAAAAATACAAAAATTAGCCAGGCATGGTGACACATGCTGGTAATCTCAGCTACTTGTGAGGCTGAGGCATAGGAATCACTTGAACTCAAGAGGCAAAGGTTGCAGTGAGCTGAGATCGCCCCACTGCACTCCAGCTTGGGTGACAGAGCTGACACACCACCCCCCCCCCCAAAAAAAAAAAAAAGATACACATGGGACACCATGAAAAAAAGTCAAATTTATGTGTAATTGGAGACCAGGAATAGAAGAGAGAGAATAGGGTAGAAGTGGTATTTGAAAAGGTAATGGCCAAGAAATTTTCAAAGCTGATGGAAACATCAACCCAGAGTGTTAAGAAACTCAGCAAATGCCCCAAACAGTATAACTGCAACAAAAACCCACAACTATTTTGAACATCAAGTCAAGCCACTAAAAACCAAAGACAGAAAGAGAAATAAGGTGGATCATATCATTGCTCTCCTCAAAAGCCTCCAGTGGTTTTCCCACCTCGGAGGAAACAGGAAGATCTTGATATTAAGAAAAGATCCTATACAACCTGACAACCCCCTGTCCATGACGTCTCTGACTTCATTTCCTATCACACTTCCCCCTGCTCATTCTGCTCCAGTTACACTGTCCTCCTTGTTATTCCTTTCAGGCACACTCCTGTCATAGCACATTTGCCATTCATCCTCCCCAGCATACTCTTCCTCCAGATATTCACGTGGCTATTCCTCAAGTCTTTCATTGAGGCCTTTCTGGGCCATCCTATTTACAACTGCTTTGCCTTCCTCCAGTACCTTCTATTCCTTTTTCCTTACTTTATTTCTCACCATGGCATCTATCATTCATGACACACTATTCATCTGTTTATTGTTTTTCCAACACTAGACACAAATGTGGGATTGTCATCTGTCTGAGTGACTACTGTATTTCCAGTGCCTGGAATTGTTGCTGGCACGTGTAAGCACTCAATGTTTGTGGGGTAAGTGCATGTTCAGTTAAGGTTTGAGTGCTGTACTACCTGACATTTCTCTGAAACTAAAGGTATAAAGTTACTAACCCATCATCATGAGGATGAAATTTTTGACTTATTTTCCAGTGGTGCTAATAAGTCAATGTTAGTTTACATTAATTTATTCACTAGAATGTACTCTAGAAGTCTGAATTAGTCCATATACCAATAAATCTAGTTTACTATCAAGGAATCACTGAGACACGATTGGGGAATTCACTAAACTTATGATAATCAGGCCATCTTACATATTATGGAATTCATTTTTGAAAACAAAGAGAAGATTAGAAAATATGAAAGTATTTTGTACTTACTCATCTGACATAATTTTTTTGCCAGATGGTACTCTCGGGCCATTTCTGCTCTCAGGAACTGAAAAACATTAAATTTTTCAAATAAGTCAATTTAAATGTTGTCAACTCTAAACTCCCTAGAAAATCTTCCATTAATAAATTATTTTGCTTTTAACATTTCCATACATTTTTCCAGGAGTCAGTCTATAACCAATTAATCACGGATATTGAAGGACCTCTGATGGCAAAGCCACATGCGGTAAGGATGATACCTCTGCTTTCCTTCAACAATACTGTGTATGTATACTGAACCATTTAATTCAACTGGCACAGATAATGAAAACATTAATCACTTTAACATTCCTTTGGTTCCGATAACAGATTTCACTTGTAATTTAGTCCATAATCATATGACAGGTGAAAAAAAATGCAGACACACAATATGTACATTTGATATTTTCCAGTATTGCTCTTATAGCATTCAATTTGCTTTTATTATTTTTATTATACTTTCCTTGTTACAAAACAATTTTATGTAGAAAATGTAAAAGCTAAATAAACACATTCTATCCCCAATTAAGAAGCACTTACATTTCTACCACCCATGAAAAATAAACACATTTATTTTTAACATCTACATGTATATTCTTTCAAGTACAATTTTCCACAAATGAACACAAACGTATTTATGACATTTGAGATTATTTAGTAACAAAAAAAATAAGCCAGATTGTGATCATCGTCTCCCAATGGCATGAAATATTCTTACATATTTTTTACTTACTTAGGCTACAATTTACTAATCTTCTATTACTATCTAGACTACTTCCATCAAAACACACACACACACACACACACACACACACACACACACACACACACACACACACCCCTATACTTTGATGATTGTTCTTGCTTGTGTATGACATATTCTGAACCACATGCAGGTATATGAGTTTTATTCTGTAAGAGATAGAGGCATAGAATAATGTATAAGAGACCCTTTCATACACTTCTAGATATTTGATAAATACCTAGGTACTGTTTTCAGATGTAGTTCTCTACTGGTTTTCTCAGTTTCTCCCATGGGTTAAAAAAAATTTTTTTTCTAATGTAAATATAACTTCCAGAGATTTTCCTGTAAGTCATTAACTTCATCAAAATTCTCATTCACATACTAATTAACATGGTGTGTTCAACTCATGTAATAGAATTCTTATATTTTCAAAATCTATTCTTTTCTAGGTTAAGACACTTTCATTTTCATTCCTATTTGTGGTTTTCTTCCATTTTAATTATGTTACCTAGTAGTTTATATCTATGTCTCCTTTTTTGTCTAATATCCAGCTGACACATTAATTTAGTTTTTACTTTGAATTAAAGTTTCTTTAATTCTTTTTCTTGTTTTATGTTTATTTTTCTAGTTTCTGGCATTAATATTTAATTCATTTATTGCCATTCTTCCTTGAATCATCATCATCATCATCAAAGCATTTGAAATTTTAAGCTCTTTTCAAAATTTTAATATTTAGTGTTGTGGTGATTGATATTTTCCAAATAACTTTTAAGTTTTTTTTGTTTTGTTTTTTTGAGACGGAGACTTGCTCTGTTACACAGACTGGAGTGCAGTGGTGCAATCTTGGCTCACTGCAACCTTTGCCTCCCTGTTTGTATTTTTAGTAGGATGGGGTTTCACTGTGTTGGCCAGACGGGGTCTTGAACTCCTGACCTCAAGTGATTGCCTCAGCCTCCCAAAGTGCTGGCATTATAGGTGTGAACCACTGTGCCCAGCTTCACTTCATTTTTTATTTTTCTTTTACATTCATGCCATGTATAATTTTTTTTTTTTCGTTTTAAGTGGTTTTAATTTGTTATTTTTGTTATTGCCTAGTTTAATTGATCATGGACAGAGAATGTGATCCGTAAAATATGCAGCAATTTTTATATTTTTAAAATCTATTATGGAAAATTTAAATATACAAAAAAGTACAGAGAATAGTAAAAGAAACCCAAGTTGCCAATTCTCAGCTTCGAAATTTGGGTTCTATCATTATCACCACACACTCTTTCCTCACCTCTGTCTGGATTACTTTAAAGCAGTTTATAGATATTATCTCATTTCACATTAACATAAAACTCAATCAAAATATTACTATCATACCTAAACATTTAGGAATTTCTTAATATCATCTAATATGTAGTCTATTTAATGAAGCATTATATTAATAATACTAGCCTCAGCAAAACAAGTATGGAATCAATTTCAGACTCCCTTGTGTTAACCGTTTTTGTTAGCAAAAAATATATTTCCTTAACAGTTCAAAAAACAGTAAAATTAAGAAATTCTTGCAATAAATGTTTTGCCAAAGCCCTTGTGAATTATCTAACACTCCAAAATTAAGCTGAAGACAGGTTTAAAAAATTTCTTGTGACATTCAAAATAAACACATGCTTAACAGCTAACTAAACAGCATAAACACTGATGAAATCTGACTGGAAAAAAAAATCCAGCTAGAAAAGCCATTTTAAAGATAAATTTGGAAATCTAAATTTGGTGGAATATTATATGATATTACAGAATTATTACTAATTTTCTTGGTTGTGATAAGGATATAGTGTTACACTAAAGAATGAACTTTGAAGATCCATGCTTGAGTATTTATGGGTGAAGTTTCATGGTGTCTACAACTAATTTCAAATGTTTCAGTCAGAAGTATGTATCTGCCAGGCACGGCTCACGCCTGTAATCCCAGCACTTTGGGAGGCTGAGGCAGGCGGATCACGAGGTCAGGAGTTTGAGACTAGTCTGACCAACATGGTGAAACACCGTCTCTATTAAAAATATAAAAATCAGCTGGGCTCGGTGGCATGTGCCTGTATTCTAGCTACTTGGGAGGCTGAGGCAGGAGAATCGCTTGAACCTGGGAGGTGGAGGTTGCAGTGAGCTGAGATTGCATCATGGCACTCCAGCCTGGGCAACACAGTGAGACTCCATCTCTAAATAAATAAATAAAGTTGGAGCAACTAAAAAGGGACACATTGTGAGAAGATCTTATGCACTGTACAACATAAGATATGAAAGTAAGCAATCTCATATTATCTGAATTTTTACATGAAAATTAATTAATGGATTACTTTTATAATTAAATGTTGAAAAAGAAAGAAGAAAAGAGAAAACAAGCAACTCCAGAGAGTTTGGTTATGGTAGATAGGGTCTTTGAATGCTCTATAATTCATGAATATTTAGGTGTCTAGTCAAAAGGAAGACTAAGTGAAGTCTTTCTAATATTTGGCATCATTTTTTCTTCTTCCTTCTCAAAAGCACCTTATATTATTAAGGAGGCTTCAAAATTTCCTATATATGCTTTATTCTAGGAAGGAAATATAGTAAATACAATATGACTGATTTCCCTATATGATTCCATGGCTAGCAATTGGATTAAATTATCTAAGAAGAGAAGTACATAAGCATTTTTTGTGTGTGTGCTAAAATTCTAAATGAGGCTTTTGGCCATGATGGAGTAACAGAGAGCAGACTTACTGTCCTTCCTTAAACAACCATAAAATTGGACAAAAATATATGAAACAACAGTTTTCAGATATGGGACAACTGACATCACAGGACAGCCATGTTTCTGAGAAAAAGAAAATAAAGTAGGTCCTAGGATTGCCTTAGCTTACCACTTGTAGGCTGTTTCTAGGGTCCAGCATGAGGAAGAATCTAAACAAAAACCAGGGATTTCTCTGGGTTGAAATAACATAGTTTAGACTGCAGAGATTACAGCCAAGGTGGCTATAATTTTCAGAAGAGGAAGGAGTTTCACAAAAGCAGAGGACTCCAGCAATCTGCAGAGGTCTCTCTTTGAGTCTTTGGCTGGTAATGATCTGCATGTGACTGTGAATAAGGTATCTGAGCCTGGAGAAAGAATCACTAGAATGAGCAGGTGGAATAATCACTGGCTATCAGACAGAGTGGAGAGCAGCTCAAGTTTTTACCAGCCAAAGTGGAAGGTCCTCTTAACATGCAGAGCACTGGGGAGAATCCTCATAAGAGCACTGCCTTAGTACTGTCCCTACGCTATATAAAGGCTGCCCTGGATGCTCCCTAACAAAGCTTAAAAGCCAGGGTCAAAAGAGATACCTACTTCCAAGCACCTTAATTGTGCCCCAGAACAAATACTTACAGAAGTCCACCAATATTTACAGAAAAATAACAAAAGTTTGTACCCCAAAACATAAAATTTACAATGTTTGTGATTGGGTAAATAATTGGCAGGTACCAGGTGTGGTGGTGTGCAACTGTAGTCTCAGCTATTCGGGAGGCTGAGGCAGGAGGACTGCTTGAGCCCAGGAGTTTGAGGGTGTAGTATATCATGATCATGCCTGTGAGTAGTCACTGCACTCCAGCCTGGGCAAAGCCAGACCCCAGCTGTTCAAACAAACAAACAAAAAACAGGCATGCAAAGAAGCGGGAAAATAAGACCCATAAGCAGGAGAAAACAATCAGTAGAAACTGACCTAGAATTAACAAAGATGACAGAATACCAGGCAGCCATGTTAAAACAGCTATTATAAATATATGCCGTATGCTCACAAAAGAGGTAAATATGAACATGATGATGAAATAATAGGTATAAAAATATCTAAATAGCACTTCTAGAGATGATAAGTATAGTATCTGAAATGTAACAAATATATAATGCAGGATGGGATTCACAATAGATTATAACTGCAAGGAAAAGATTATAAACTTGAAGACATAGCAATAGAAATTATCTAAAATAAAACATATGAAAAAAAACTGAAAAAAATTTAAACGGAATATCGGTGACCCCTGGAACAATACCGGGTGGTTCAGCATTTTAGCAATTGCACCTTAGATGGAAAGAGGAAGAGCAGAGGTCAGAAAAAATATTTGAAGAATTAATAACAACATTTTCCAAACCTGATGAAGACTATAAACTCACAGATCCAAGAATCTTAATGAGCAGAAGAAATATGAGGAAAACCACACCGAGGCATGTTATAATCAAATTGTAAAATAAAGTAATACAGAAGAAAAAAAATTTAAAAGACATATTATATACAGATGAATAATAAAAACAGCAGGTATATCTTCTGAAACTATGCAAGCTATGAGACAATGAAGCAACCGTTCAAAGCACTAAAAAAACTTGGCAATCTAGAATTCTCTAGCTAAATATTTGTTTTAAATGAAAGTGAAATTAAGACCTTTTCAGACCAAAAAAAAAAAGCAGAGAGAATTTATTGCCAGTAGAACTGCATTATAAGAAATACTAAAGGAAGCTTTTTGGGTAAAGGGAAATTGGTATCAGGTAGAAATTTGGATCTATACAAAGCTACGAATACCAGAAATCGAATATATGTGGTTAGATAAAAAAGACATTCTAAAAGAGATTTTAAAATCTCTTTAAAAGAGAGTTAACCATTTAAAATAATACTGTATTAAGGGCTTATAACATATGTATTAATAGAAGTAAATGCATGACAAAATAATACAAAGGATGGGAAAGAAATTAGTGTCCTATTATACAACATACATGAAGTTGTGTAATAATAAAGGTAGAGTGTGATATCACAACAAGTGAGGTAAAATTGTTTTGTTCTCCATAGAATTGTCAGTAAATCCGTATGTATACTTTCTGAGTGTGATGTTTCAGGCTTCAATGCCTTCATATGTGCCTTTTCTGATGCCAGTAATGCCTTCTCTTGTTTTAACAGATGAATTCCTATATTTGCCTCTTCCTTCAAGTTTCTAAGATTCTATTAGTCTCTTCCTCTAAAAATCCTCCTCTTATTCCTTGCTCCTCCTCCTTTTCTCAATTAGTCCCTTAATCCTCCCTGTTCCCAGAAAACTTAATAAATATTTTTATTACTAGCATGCATTTAATCTTATTGTAATTATTTATATATGTGCCTGTTATCAAGGGCAAAGACATGTCTCTCTTATTTATTTATTTAGAGATGGAATTTCACTCTTATTGCCCAGGCTGGAGTGCAATGGGGCAATCTCGGCTCACCGCAACCTCTGCCTCCTGGGTCCAAGTGATTCTCCTGCCTTAGCCTCCCGAGTAGCTGAGATTACAGGCATGTACCACCGTGCCTGGGCAATTTTTTGTATTTTTCGTAGAGATGGGTTTCTCCATGTTGGTCAGGCTGGTCTTGAACTCCCGACCTCAAGTGATCTACCTGCCTTGATCTCCCAAAGTGCTGGGATTATAGGCATGAGCCACCACGCCTTCACTTATTTATTTCTATATACCCAGCAACTAGCATAATGCTGGGTATATAGAAAGCTTTCCTTAAAGCAGTCCTTGAAGAGTTTTATACCAAAACTTCCTTACTCCTGCCTCAGCCTTACCAAAAATACTGCATGTCCTTCCAGAATGTTCTTTTACCTCTAACCTGGTGAAAGTAGTAAGAGAGATGAGTAGCCAGGCAAGCATCTGTGTGTGGACAAGGATCTTTTTATTAATTTAAAAAAATGTTTACTTTTTAATTGATATATACTATTGTATACATTTTGGGGGTACATGTTTGATACCTGCATACAATGGGTAATTATCAAATCAAGGTAATTGGATTATCCATCATCTCAAACATTTATCTGTTCTTTGTGTTGGAAATATTACAAATTTCCTCTTCTGGTTATTCTAAAGCATACAATAAACTACTGTTAACTATAATTTCCCTACTATACTACTGAATACTATAATTTATTCCTTCCATCTAACTGTACTTTTGTACCCCTTAGCTGACTTCTATCTCCAGCTTCTTCCTGTCCACCCTCTGGTAACCACCATCCTGTGTTCTGCCTCCAGGAGAGCCACTTTTTTAGCTCTCACAGTAGTGATTTTAAGTCTTTGATCTTTAGTTATTTCGGTATTTTTAAGTTTCTTAAATTATATGCACAAATAAAACTTACTTCTGCCATTAACTCTAGTGGGGCCTGAGTATTCTTTTTAGGGTTACTGTCTTCATCATTATCTTCATCACTGGTATCGTCTTCACCATCATTCTCTGCTGATTCTGACAACTTATCATCAATATCCTGAAGGGAATATTCATTATTTTTCTCCTGCTTTACAATGACTGCATCTTTGCCCACTTCACCTAAAAGGGAATATACCTAATTTAGACAATAAACATTGAAAAGTTTGCAAATCAAATTTTGCCAGATCCTATTATCATTCATTAAACTGATACATTCATAAAAGTAACATAATTATCATAACAAACTTGTATTTGGAACACTACATATTTTAACTCAATTTAAATCTCTCAATATCAATGAGGTATGTATTATTTTTATTCCCATTTATAGGTGAGGAAACTGAGGGACAGAGAGGTTAAATATACTGGCCAACTTCAACTTCACACAGCTAATTAAGTGGTAGATCTGTGAGTCAGTCTGGCCCTAGAGTCCATATTCTGTTCTTTTTTTTTTTTTTTGAGACGGACTCTCGCTCTGTCACCAGGCTAGAGTGCAGTGGTGTGATCTCGGCTCACCGCAACCTCCACCTCCTGGGTTTATGCAATTCTCATGCCTCAGCCTCTAGATTATCTGGGACTACAGGCATGTGCCACCACATCCAGCTAATTTTTGTATTTTTAGTAGGAACGGGGTTTCACCATGTTGGCCAGGATGGTCTTGACCTCTTGACCTTGCGATCCACCCACCTCAGCCTCCTAAAGTACTGGGATTACAGGTGTGAGCCACTGAGCCTGACCAGAGTCCATATTCTTAATTATGTCTTGCATTATTTTTACTAATATAAAATAAATATACTTCAATTAAGTAAGTTTAAATCATCTCCTGGGGAAATACTACTGAGTGAGCCTGCTGGCTCCTTCAGCTTTGTGGAAGTCTTTCATGGTTTGAAATTGAACTTGTTACACCCACCCCTTCTTGTATGATTCTGAGTGCCTGGGAAGTCTGAGATGTCTTCTCTGATGGGAAGGTGGCTATAAGCTACTCTAAATTAATGTATACACACTTGTGGTAGAAAGAAGAAAATGAGGAAATCTAGGAGAGCTCCATAGAAGACAATGTTAAGAAAACACAGATCAAAAAAAAAAAAAGATAAAACTTATGAATCTACAACAAACTCCTGATTCTAAACCCTAATGCTATCCTGAAAAGGAATATCAAGTTCTTCCAAGAGTGTGATGGTTGTGATATTCAGGCCATCCATCTACCTGTTTCTGGTTCATTTACAGTCTCCATCAGCTCACAATCACCCTGATGGTCCAGTGTGCACCCCGCCTGTGCAGACTCAACACACTGATGTCACCAAGGGAGGTCATAATGAGGAATTAGGGGCACTTTGTGATGTCACAGGAACCATCTCATTCACTTCACAAACATTTAGCATCAGAAGAGAAGTTTCCTGATTCCTAGATCTAAAGCAATCCTCTTCCCAGAAGCTGTTTATTTACATTACAGCACCTACCACAACCTGTAATTACCTTGCTTATTTGTTTGAGTTTTTATTTACATTTATTTATTTATTTATTTATTTATTTATTTATTGGAGACAAGGTCTTACTCTGTCGCCCAGGCTAGAGTTCAGCGATGTGATCTCGGCTCACTGCAGCCTCTGCTTCCCAGGTTCAAGCGGGTCTTATGCCTTAGCCTCCCGAGTAGCTGTGACTATAGGCACTTGCCACCACGTCTGGCTAATTTTTGTATTTTTAGTAGAGACGGGGTTTCATCATGTTGGCCAGGCTGGTCTCAAACTCCTGGCCTCAAG